TACAAAATCCAATTGGAAAGAACAAAGTCAACCACGGGGAGATTTGTGAAGGTACAGAGGCTTGGGGTGGTGGAGGGCTACATGCAGACGGAATGGTGGTTGGTGGCCTCAGCCTTTGTTCTCAGACCATCATGAAGGACAGAGAAAAGAGAAAGAAAAAGAAATGAAGGTGGAAAATGAGAAGTGAATAAACATGGCTTCGTACAGAGGGAAGACTGGGGCGGGGGATGCAGAGCTTCCACTCACCCACCACTTCAGCACTTGCTCCTGGAGTGCTAAATCCAGGAGACAGAGAGAAAGCTGAGCAGAGCAGAGCTGACTTAGTGGGTTTCAGGAATGGCTTGCTCCAGCCACAGCAATGTTTCCTGAGTCTAATTATTTCCCAAAAGACACTGATTGAGCATCAGGCTCCATGCTAGGTATGGGACCAGGCTCTCTGTCCTGAGGGCACTCGTGGCTTTGGGAGGTGACCCTTTATCCCATTTTGTTGCAGACATTGATGAATGTGAACAAGGCAAGCCAGGGACTGCCTGTGGAAGATTCGCAGACTGCCATAACACGGTGGGGAGCTACTACTGCACATGCAGCGAAGGATACAGGCTTGTTTCTGGGGCAGCAAAGTTCGGTAATGAGAGTGAGAACACGTGTGAAGGTAAGAATGACCCGCATCTTCCATCTCCCCGTCCATGAGGCTTGGAGTCACCAGAGCCATTCCTGCAGCATACAGGGTGCCGGGCCCTGGTGATATGTGCAGCCCCCAGGTCTGAGTGGGACAAGTGTGCCTGTGCCTGTCCCACTAGCACAGGGAGGAGGGTGGCATGAGAGCCAAGGACCCAAGTCCTGGGATTGATACCTAACAGCTGTGTATGCAGCGCCAGCCAGGACACTTATTCAGAAATCACTGGTAATGTGCAAGATGTGATAATATTATTGTGGCTTTGTGTTTAAAAAAACAACAACACCTATTTTTTACAAATGAAAACAAAAGTAACTTTGCCTTTGTTAGCTATATGACCTTGGACACATTCTTCACTGCTCTGTGCCCCAGTTTACCCATTAGTTAAAAGGGAGTGACAATGCTGGGAAAGTACATGTGATCCTAGAGCACAGCACAGTGGAGGCTGTTGGGCTTTTAGACTATACTCATTCTTTCTCTTTATTTTTTATCTTTATTGTTGAAAGTATTAAGTAAGTCCCCTTTTTCCGCCATTGACCTCTACCAGCCCACCCCCACCTCACACCCCAGTCCCTCACCACCTCATGGTCTGTGTCCATGGGTTATGCATAAGTTCATTGGTTGATATCTTCCCACCCACCCTTACCTGCCTTCCTTCTGAGGTTCAACAGTCTGTTCCATGCTTCTACGTCTCTAGGTCTATTTTTGTTCATTTTTGCCTGAGACTTTGGTGACTATAGTTTCTTCTAGAACAGCGGTTCTCAACCTGTGGGTCGCCAACCTGTGGGTTGTGACCCCTTTGGGGGTCGAATGACCCTTTCACAGGGGTCGCCTAAGACCATTGGAAAACACATATATAACAGTGGCTCTCAACCTTCCTAGTGCCACGACCCTTTAATACAGTTCCTCATGTTGTGGTGACCCCCAACCATAAAATTATTTTCGTTGCTACTTCATAACTGTAATTTT